TGGTGCAGGACGTTGTTCCCCAGCCCCTGATGGGATCTCAGCTCCAGGGACAGGAGATGCTGGTGTGGCACGTCGCCCCCCAGCCCCTGCTGGGCCCTCAGCTGCGGGCACAGGCGGCGCTGGTGCAACACGTCTCATCCCAGCCCCAGACGGGGCCTCGGCTCCAGGCGATGCCGGGGTGGGGCAGTGCACCCCCTCCCCTTCACTGGCAGGACCTCGGGGGGTGGCACCCCCTGGCACAGACCCTGCCACCCCCTCCTCGCTGGCGCTGCCCTCCCGCCTGGCATCGGTGCCGTTCGTCAGCTGCTCCTCCTCCTCCTCCTCCTCCCGGGCGCCGTCCCCGGGGCTCTCCTGTGCCAGCGCCTCCCGGATCTCCTTCACCCCATCCGGGGAGCCGGGTGGCACTCCGGGATCCTGCAGCTCCCGCGGCTCGGTGCCCATCTCGTAGGGCAGGGCCCCCTCGTCGTCCTGGATCACCGACACCACCTGCCTGGCCCTGCGGCGCCGGTCGCCCTGCCCGGCCGGCTCGGGCTCGGGCTGCCCCGGGTACTCCTCGCCCCAGTCGATGGGGATGCCCTCGCCCAGCAGGTGCAGGTTGGGGTCGCTGTTGTGTAGGACCATGCTGTCCCGGTACAGGTTGTGCTTCCGCTGCACCGCCGCCTCCTTCACGGCTGGGGAGGGGGAGCAGAGCGGGGTCAGGGGGGCTGCGGGCACCGGCCAGCCCGGGGCACCTCTGCCAGTCCTCCCCGTGGGGACAGGGAGTGGGGTCTGGAGCTGGGCAAGGGGGTTCAGCGTCCCACCCACTGCTCAACCTGTGGGAAAGCTGCTGCCCCAGCACCTTGAACAGGGTCACCCCTCCTTGTGCAGCCCCCAGCACCCTGAACAGGGTCACCCCCTCTTTGTGCAGCCCCCAGCACCCTGCATGGGGACATCCCTCCTTGTAAGCCCCCAGCACCCTGTACAGGGTCACCCCTCCTTGTGCAGCCCCCAGCACCTTGTACAGGGTCACCCCCTCCTTGTGCAGCCCCCAGGACCCTGCATGGGGACATCCCTCCTTGTGCAGCCCCCAGCACCCTGCACAGGGTCACCCGTCCTTGTGCAGCCCCCAGGACCCTGTACAGGGTCACCCCCTCCTCACAGAGCCCCCAGCACCCTTCACCAGGTCACCTCCCCTTGCACAGAACCCAGCACCCTGCACGGGGGTCACCCCCTCTTCATCCAACCTCCAGCACCCTGCTTGGGGTCTCCCCCTTCTTGTACAGAACCCTGCAGAGAGGGGTCACCCCCTCCTCATCCAGCCCCCAGCACGGGGTCACCCCTCCTCACACAGGTGCCAGGGACCCTACCTTGCATGATGTCCTTCATGACTGACTGCAGCACCACCTCCTCGTAGGTGTTCTCCACCAGGATGAAGCTGGCAAAGTCCTCAAAGATCAGCTCCTGAAACTTGGCCAATTCCTGCCGGGAGAGCAGGTGGGAGGGACACTCCAGCCCCTCTGCAGGGGGAGGTGGTCCCTCCCCACACCCCAGACTTTGTCCCCTTACCCCCTTGCAGGTGGGTGCCAGCTTCTTCAGCAGGAAGGGGATGGTGATCTGCAGCAGGGCCTCCCTGAAGAACTTCTTCCTCACCGTGCTGCTGTCGTAGTCAAACTTCTGCAGGGTCAGTGAGAGGGTGCCCCAGGTCACAGAGGGCTGAGGGGTGGTAGTCCCCTGACCTCGGGGACAAAACCCCAAGGTTTGCCCCCCCCCATTTGTAGAGGAGTGAACAGACTCCTCTGCCCTCACATCCCTCTTTCCAGCTGCTTCCCAGGGTGCCTGAGCCTGAGGAGAAGCCAACTCCTCCATGGCTGCCTGAAGGACGGTTTGGGGGCCAGTCTGAACCCCGGGTGGCTTTTACAGTGACAGGGACCTGGCTCCTCCAGGGGATTTCCCCTTCTCCATGAAAACCTCAATATAGAGAAGTATTTCCCCAGAAGACTTTTGTTGCACTAGATACCATCACTCCTGGCATCTTCCCTGGCCCTGGAACAAGGCCACTGCAGGCCACCAAAGGCCTCACCTTGAGCACCCTCTCGAGGATGCGCTGGATGGACTTGCACAGGTCGTCCTTGCCCTGCAGCTTCCCCAGCTCCTGGTGCAGCAGCGTCTCGAAGGTGTACACGGCATCATCCATTTGCTGGGAGCAGAGGAATGGGGTCAACGTGGGGAGGGAACCAAAGGGACCAACCACAGGGGTGGGCAGGGGGCTCTGGGGGCAGTGACACCCCCAAATGAGCCTTATCACAGAATCCCAGACTGGTTTGGGTTGGAAGGACCTTAAAGATTATCTTGTACCACCCTCTACTATCCCAGGTTGCTCCAAGCCCTGTCCAACCTGGCCTTGGATGCTTCCAGGGATAGGGCAGCCACAGCTTCTCTGGGCAACCTGTGCCAGGGCCTCCCCACCCTCACAGGGAAGAATTTATTTTTAATATCCAACAGGCAAATATCCTTCACTCTGGCAAGGTCCTTGGCATCCCAGAGTGGCATCCACAGCCTCCATCACAAGGACCAAGGGTGTTGGAGGAAGAAGGTGCTCAGAGCTCATCCTCCTATACCCCATCCAGGTTTGGCTGGACCAGACCCCAGAATTGGGCTACTGGCCTTGTTGGTGCCAGTGGGCTCAGTGGCAGAGGGGCAGCTGTGGTGTGATGCCCAAGCCTGGGAGCTGCCCACCCTCAGGATTGATCCACCCTTAGCCGTGTGCCTGAGACAGGACAGACATCCCAGCCAAACCCTGCCTGGGCTCCCCAGCCCTCTGTGCCCAGCCCAGGGCAGCACAGGAGGACCCCAGTCCCCATCCCACCTGTCTCATGTGGATCTGGGCCCTCTGCTTGAAGACAGACGTGCTGGAGACATCGAATCGCTGCTGGAGACC